GTCTCTATACGAGTTTACGGGTTTGTGTATGAGGAATCTTAGGGTTTCTGTATGATGAGTATAACAGTATTCTTTGGGTCTTTCGGTAAAGTCTCGTAGATAGGTTCAAAGAAAATAACAAAAAAATACAAAAAACTACGCCGTTTCTATCGCAACACAAGCGTTCGTCATCAGGAAGAGGGGGTTAGCTTTTAAAGGGTTAGCTTCTAAAGGTGAACTGTTTCTAAAGATTTGAAATGAGCGTAGCCCAAATGTCAGCAACCAATGTTAATGTAAGTGGTAGGAAGCGACTGCGACGGTGGTGGGTTTTTCCACAAATCAAAGGGCAGCCCTACAAGTTTGTCCAAGTCTTTCCCGAAGCTCGAAGACATACTGGCAAATAGCTTTTTGGCTATCTTTCAGTATCCTCTTTGGTCCACAGCTCTGTCAGGATTGACAGTGGACCTTGGACCGAATGTCCATAAAGCAGTGTTTCTGTATATACATAAAGAGCAGCTCAGGCTAATACTGTATCTGTACCAGCTACGTGGTTGTTCACTTGTCATTCGTCTCAGCATAGTCGTTTGTGTCCCATTGAATCGCTCTACCAACACGTTAAATTTGGGGTTGTATGGGGTGGTATGGAATTGTTTTATAGACAAAAGTCTGCAAACCTCCGGCATCATATCAGCTGTGAACTGCGATCCCCTGTCACTCAAGATCTCCTTGGGTACACCAACCCGAGAAAAAATATCGACCAGGGCTTCTGGTACTTCCAATGTGTCAATACCTTTACGAGAACGTGTCTCTGGATATCGTGTCGCATAGTCCACTGCAGATAGGATTTATCAGTATATGTTCATAGACATTGGTAAGGGCTCCACCAAATCAACAGCGACCCTCTGCAAAGGTGTGCTAATTAGCGGCATCTGACCCAGAAGCACTTCAGACACCTAACGCTTCACAATCGTGCACTGACATATGTCACACGATGAGCAAAATCCTTACACATCACGATTAACGCCTGCCCAATAAAAGCTTGCCAACACCCTGTGTTGAGTTCGCTTTACTCCCATGTGACCGGTCATCAAGGAATGATGTGCTAAAGACAACACTTGCTCACGCAATTTGTCTGGGGCCATTAATTGTCGGAACTTTCGACCCTTTTCTGCATTGGGATTCTGGAATTCTCTGTGTAGCAAACCCTGGTGAATAATCGTTCTGCCGGTGGTTCCGATGCCAGAATTCCATACCTTGCCTTCCTTGGTGTACCTCCAGAGATCATTTAGATTTGGCTCCTCCCTCTGTAATTTTATCAACCTTTCCCGAGGTGATCTCTGCCTCTATGCCTGTGGGAACCTTAAAGAGTTTGGTCCACGTCTTCTCCCTCTTAGCTTGTCCTCGGGTAACCACTCCTTGAGCAAACTCTCTAGAGGGTGTTACACTTCACTGTTGACCATGGCAGGTGGAATCCGGTGTTTGTGGATCCATCGCCCCTTGGACATTACCAATCACCACCTCAAATAGTGGGTGATCCATACAGGCAGATTTTACCTTCCGTTGTATGTATGGAGTGACCAATTCAATATTGGCTAGTCATGCAGTCTCATCCATTAAGATGTACAGACTTTCCTCACCATGTGCTTATCTACTATAATCCCACTGCAACCTCTATCATGGTAGACTGTTACACGATGTTCTATATCTCTAGATTTTAGGATTCCAGGTTGGATTTGATATAGCCTCCGATCCGCCCATATCCCCAATCATAGTGTATGTGAACCATTATCGAAAACTGTGACCTGTCCCTTCCCTGATGTTACAGTGAGCGGTTTTCCCATTACTCCTGTACGGACCCTAGCGTCTATAGTCGCTGGGACACTCCTTTTCCGCTGGCCACATTCACGAGCTATACGTGCAGACTTGCCACATACATAGCAATTAACTGTCTGCTGAGAATTTGCACGCCCAGGCCCCCACTCTCATTATTCACAGATTTTTGACTCGTGACTACACATGGCTGTGATTCACTACTTATCTGATAATTCTGTCCCTGGTACCACTATGATATGTCCTATTACAGCCTGCAAGGCACTGCTCAGCCAGTGTTACCACTGTCTTAATACTTGCGGGAACATATTCCCGCAGAAACACTGCTAAGTCTATTGGACTTGCACGAAGTGCTTGCTCCCTTAGCAGTAAATCTCGAAGACTTTCAAACGTTTGAGCCACTCCACCAAGTTCAACGCACCGATCAAAATAATGTTGTAGGCGCACAATGAACTGCTCAAAGCTCTCATCCTTTTCGGGTCTACCCAATCGGAATTTGTTTCGAAACCCTTCCCGTTCAACTCATACCGCTTCAGTAGTGCAACTTTGAGCTTATCGCAGTCTGCTGCATCATCATACTATAGGTGATTGAAGTCTGGGACAACCTTCCCAGTTAACAGCACCGTGGCCATTCATAGCATTCGGCGTACCACTCGAAACGCTGTAACAAAAACGCATCCATCTGATCATGGGCCTCATCGAACTTTGGAAGTTTGGGTATCGTTGCTTTTCCCCACACGAGCTCCCAAGGTGGTACTTCCCCAGCTGCTCCCATCTGTTGTAACAAAGCTTCCTCCAATCTTAATTTTTCCAGCTGGAGGACCCAGTTTCTTTCAAACGTCAACCACTCCGAACTCTCTTTCCTTATTGTCCCGTTATAAAGGGTCTTGCCGCTCGAAATGAGCTTCCCTCTCATAATCACGTGTCTCATTCTCTACAGCTAACAGCAGTGGTTCCCTTTCCATTGAAAGTTACCTTCTAGGCGGAGCCTCTCAATCTGCAGTGCTTTCTCTGTTTCTATCTTGGCTGTCTCGACAGCTCGCCTCTCCGCTCTTTGTTCTCTGAGAAAGGTCTCGGTGCTAAGTATACGGTTCTCAATGTGAGGCCATGGGTGTCTGTGTGAGTCTTTGTGTCTCTGCGTGATCAGTATACGGGTCTCTGAGTAAGTCTATGGGTCTTTGTGTGATGAGTCTGAGGGTTGCTGTGTGATCAGTATGCGGGTCTCTGTGTGATGAGTATATGGGCCTCTCTGTGATGAGTCTATGCGTCTCTGTGTGAAAAGTATACGGGTCTGTGTGTGAGTGTATGGGACTCTGTGTGAGTCTATGTATCTCTGTGTGTCTACAAGTCTATGTGTGAGTCTACTTGTCTCCGTGTGATGAGTCTGTGGGTCTCTGCGCGATGAGTGTACGGGTCTCTGTGCGATGAGTATACGGGTCTCTGTTTTGAGTATATGGGTCTCGGTGCTGAGTATATGGTTCTCTGGGTGAGGCTATCGGTCTCTGTGTAAGTATATAGGTCTCAGTGTGATGAGTCTGTGGGTCTTTGTGAGATGAGTCTGTGGGTTTTCATGTCATGAGTCTGCGGGTCTCCGTGTGAGGAGTCTGCGGGTCTCTGTGTGATGAGTGTACTAGTCTCTGTGTGAGTATATGGGTCTATGCGTGATGCATATGTAGTGACATTGCGGGATGTCACTGTGCAGTGCCGGCCCTAGAGAGGCACAGGGTGCGGTGTAACGACATCGCGGATACCACAATGGTGTGGGTGTAGTACCGGCCCTAGAGGTGGCTCGGTGAGCACTGATCGATAGCGCTGGATGGCACCACGCTTGGCGTGCAGTGCCAGCCCCTACAGGACAGGGTGTGGGAGTGCCGTCCGTAGGTAAGGGGTTACTAAAGGCCATGGCTCTCTGGTTGACCCGGGGCCCCAAGTGGGGGATAGGGGTGGTCACGTGGTTAGCATCTAGAGCCTTCCCGAGGATTCTGGAAGGTTGTCGCAGCCAAGGGTGGAGCCAGCCACGCCACAGAGAATATAAGCCAGGTCCACAGAGGGACCGGCGTAGTTGTTTTGTTCATCCTGAAGAAACCTTCGTCTACGTTCTACGTTCTCCGTTCAACGAGTCTCCAACACGTGGACCTGGACCCGAGCTGTGGTCCCGGTTACGTTGTAATCAGTGTAGTAACTAGTGTAGTAACTAGTGTAGTAACTAGTGTAATAACTAGTGTAGTTAGCCTGGTGGTCACCACCATAGGTTGTTATTCTGTTAAGGGTAAGTTACCCCGTGCGTTAGAGCAAAATAAATGAATTGCCTCCAAGCATACGTCTGCGACTCAGTTTAACTCAATACACATATACGGGTCTCTCTGTGATGAGTATATGGGTCTCTGCATGATGAGTATATGGATCACTGTGTGATGATTCTAAGGGTCTCTGTGCGAGTCTACGGGTCTCTGTGCGAGTCTACAGGTCTCTGTGTGAAGAGTCTACATATGTGTACGTCATCGGAACCAGAGATAGTTAATTTGGCTAAATATACGGTGTGGACTGCCAGGCAACAAACGTTTCTCCCACGTGGCCGAGTGGGTGGGAATGTGCTTGCATCTATTATTGGCTTGAAAAAGCGATATTACCCACACTACAAATATAAAGAACCCCCTGCAGCTGCAACAAACTGTTTGGCCCAGTGCGGTTAGCGAGTAGCAGCACCTATGAAGGCCGGAATGGCACGCAAAAGGGTGGGTGCCCAGCACCACGCACGGCCGCTTTTGTCTCCACAGCGGCGATGTTTTTACACACCGCACCAGGTAATCATTTGAGACTGAGTCGACCTAGGGGACAAGGCGCCAGGACTGGTTCAGATGCCCGTCAGTGGTGTTGATCTGAGTGGAAATTTAACTCGGGTCACCGGGTTCGTAGCGCAAAGCATTAACTGCTCCCCCACACACACTCACCTTCACAGAAACACACAAGTATGCGGACAAGCACTCCCAGTTTGCAACTGCGAATTTGCGATTTAAATTAATGTAAAACATATATTGAATGGTTCGCAAGTGCAGGTGTTCGTAAGTTGGGTGTTCATAATTCGAGGCCTGCCTGTAGCACAAGGGGCTTCCATTGGCAGTGTGTAGCTCAGTACGAGATCACCAATGAGCACCAATCTATATGAAACCCTGACTCGAACCCAGGTCTCCTGTGCTTACCAACGAAGTCCTCGGGATCAATACCAGGGCAGACGACTCAACCAACGGCTTTCCTTGGACCTCCCCTGCTCCCAACTCTCCCAGCATCCTACTTGCTGAGCTGCTGGTATGGAGAGGCCCAAACTGGAGCCAGTGCATGGAGTCTCCATGCTGGACTTCATAGCGAGGGACTGCAGCCTGGTGGAGTCGTTTAAAGCCAGGCCCGGAGACCTCCTCATAGCGACTTACCCCAAGGCGGGTGAGTATTAACAGCAGTAGCATCAGCATCATTACCATCATCTTCATTATCACATTCACCACCCTCATAATCATCACCACAATCGCGATGACCATCATAATCATCGTCATCATCATCATCACCAGAATTAGCACGATCATCATTATTACAATCACCACCACCCCCACTATCTCAAAACGGATCTCATTATAATCGCCACCACCTTCATAATCACCACCACTGCCACCGCCACCACAATCACCACCTTCATAATCATCCAGTTCCAGTTCCATTTATTTGGTATAGCCCTGTGAGCCATTCGGCTCTTGAATCGGGTGCAACCGCAACAAACAAAAAACAAAAACATGAACAAGAAAACGTCTTAAAGTGACTATGCGACTGTGCAAACAAAATCCAGGAAAAAACATCAAACTATTCCTGAAAAAGCACCGTACACCAACGCTGGGTGCAAAAATCATCTCCATCATCAAATCATCTCCATCATCTAGCTTAATGCGGTACCGTGTAATAAAAACAAATATTTTTTTTGTTCCTGGGTAGCAAGTGTTATTTTCCAATTGCTTATGCCTCAAAAGTACAGAAAATGGCTATTATTCCCCACAAACTTTGATTTTGTGACCAGGACACTGATATTTTGAAATTTACCTATTTTCAATTAGAAAACGTGTGAATTTGTGTCATTCCTTCACATGCAGTCCTGGTCACAAAAGCAACGTTTGTGGGGAATAATATCCATTTTCTGTACTAATTGAGGCAATTAGAAAATAACACTTACTACCCAGGAACAAAAAACGTGTTACTAGTGAAATATCATCGCCACCACATTCATGATCATCATCACCATTACCATCTTTATAGCCACCATTATCTTCAAGATTATCTTTATCACCACCATTATCATCATAACCACCATCATCACCACCATCACCTTCATCACAACTACCATCTTCATCACGATCACTGCTACCACCATCAACATCACCACCATTTGGGCATTTATAATTATCATAACCACCACCATCACCTTCATCACGACCACTGTTATCACCATCATCACCATCACAAATACCACATTCATAATTATCATCATCATCACCACCACCACCGTCATCACCACCACTGCTACCACATTCAAAATCATCATAACCACCACCATTAACACTACTACCACCTTCACACTACCACCACCACCTTCATCACCACCACATCTATGATCATTAACAACACCAACCGCCATTCGCAACTAAGTGGTGGTGACGTCACCACGGCGCTTGTGGGAGGCTGTGTGCACTTTACGGCCACGTGAAGTGTAGAACGCCCGCTGGCAGGTCACGAGACAGACCGAACAGGTGCCATGGGTTAACTGACTTAGATGAGTGGCCGCTGCACCAACTGTGTCTCCTACTTTGCCAATAACAGGTCCCTGCAGGGTGGGCTGGTAGGAACATTGGAATTTTGCGCAATTTTATTACACCCAACAGCACGAGATTTCACTTCGTTAAAGTATTGAAAGGGGACGGACGGACGGACACATTAATCTATTGCAGGCTGGTACACTCAGTTTACAACTTCGTTCCTACCAGTATAACCGGCTCTCCCTATTCCTCTCCTCCCGTGACCATAACGAGGGGGCATGCCGGTTAATTAGGACAACAATAAGACGAGTTTGAAGGCGATAAATGGATACTCTGCGTTGTGTTCTGCCCTCCTCTTGAGGATCAAGTGACTCCACCACCGAGGTACACCATAGGGTTGTGGAATGGCAACTCTTTATTTTAAAGTGTTCTGAGGAGCATTCGTGCATCTGTAATTATGACCACATGCATGTACGTCAATCGACCCAACGTTACGCAACACTTCACTGCTCAATCCCGGTACAGCATCCATCCAAATCTGAATAAATGCCCTGTACCTTGAATTAATTACTCCAATGGTGGGTGTGATCTACCGTGCAGTCACACGAGTCTATGGTTCCAAAAGATGGTCATCATTAGCTCCATTGATAATTATACGTGTGATGCATTACATTAAGCCCATACCGGCTACACCCCAATTTGCTGTGTTTTATCTGCCCGGTGCCCCACTTGTAGTGAGCGTCGCTCCTCTGCCCTCCGTTGTTGGAGAGCGACTGCCTCCAACTGCCCAGTAGTGTCCTCCACAGAGGTCGGTCTTGACACCACTGGTGCCAGTCACAGTTTTGCCCCCTCTCTCCGGCCGAACAAAAGGTGTTTAGGCATGTGGTGGCTGGGCCTGTGGGCTACATGACCCAGCCAACACAGCCTTCCCTGCCAGAGAAGCTCACCGATGGGACTTTGTCCAGATCTTTCAAGGATTTGTGAGCTCCTGACTGTGGCCAAGAAGACCAAAACCTTCGCGTGAAGCAACAGACCAGGTAGCTTCCATACAGCGTTACGCAGCCAATCAAAATATAATGCCGCTAAACTGATTCAGAGTGAGACCTCTGCTGTCATACCGGAGCTGGTAATCAGCAGACTGGCCAGGTTTGGGAACTGTCCCATCATCAATTTGGTGAGGGGAAGGATTGTTTGATGGCACAAAATACCGAGGTAGGTGCTTAGTTTTGGTGGGGCTAATGGTAAGGCCCCACTTCTTAGTGGCTCATTCCAGGTCAAAGAGCAGAGCCTCCAACTCCTCTTAGTGAGCCACAATCACCAGATTATCAGCTTACATAATATGATTGACCAATAGGGAGCAATCGATTGACCACCACTACTACCATATTCATCATCACCACCATTACCACCTTCATCACGACCACTGCACACCGCCATCATCACCATCACCACTACTACAACATTCATAATTGTCATAACCACCACCATTATCACCAACACCTTCACCACTACCACCATAACCACCTTCATGATCATCACGACCACCTGCTACTACCATCATCACTACCATTATCACCACCACTGCTACCATATTCATAATTATCATAACCACCACCACCATCATCATCACCACCACCACCACCAACACTGCTACCATCATCATCAACAGCACTACCATCACATTCATAATTATTATGACCACCATGTTCATTACCGCCACCTTCATTACCATCACTGCTACCATCATGCTCAACTTCACGACTACCACATTCAAAATCATCACCACCTTCATCTTGGCCACCCCCCCCCCCCCTACCTCTCTAAGGCACCACGTGGACCCAGGAGATCGTGGTACTAATTCAGAGTGGAGTGGACGTGGAGTACTGCAAACGCAGCCCTGTGTATGAGAGGATCATCTTCATGGAGTGGACGGGCAAAAATTACATGACGTCTCGCAAAGGTGACAGCAGCAGTGAACTAAACTCAATTATTTATGTTTTACTTTTACCAGGAATAAGTTTTCAATTGAGCTACGTAGCTCATATTCAGACCTGGTCCACAGACACTCATACCTCAGACACCCACAGAGACCCATACTCATAGAGGCCCACCGAAACCAACTCATAGAGACCCACAGAGACCCACTCATGGAGACCCGTACTAAAACTAAACAATTCTGTTTATTTTATTTTACCAGGTAAGGCCCCACTGAGCGATGTAGCTCTTTTTCACAAGTGGCCTGGCCATCACGAATGATAGCTCAACGAAGTGGCATCAAAAAAACTACTACTACTACATCATCACCACGTGGCATATGATTGCAGCCAAAAGAAAGTAGAATTGCTAATTCATAATAATGGTGCTTTTGGGTTAGATCACGTACATGTGTCGTTATTGCTGATTAATTGTTTTAGGCACAAGGTGGCTAGGAGATGTTAACTTCCTCACCTAGTATACAGGAGGCGGTGGGTTCGATCCCGACCCTGACGAAACCCTGCGATATATTTGGAGGTTTTATGTTCCCACATAAACTACTTTGTTGAGCTATCATTTGCGATGACCAGGTCGCTTTTGAAAAAAAAGAAAAAGCTACTAGATTCGAAGCTCAATACCTGGTAAAATAAAATAAAAGTTTAGTTTAAATATTCTGATTCTGATTGTGATGTTCCTGGTCGCGTGGCTACAGGAGTGGAGGTGCTGAATGATTTGCCGTCTCCTTGTACGCTTAAGACTTATGATGATTGCTTGTGTTGCAATCGACACGTCGTGATTTCATTTATTTTATTTTATACCTACGTGACTTTACCGAAAGAACCAAAGAGTATGTCACTATTGTACTTTTGTTCAGCCAGGTCACACCCGTGTATGTTATGGGCTCGAGCCTATCGAGAGAAATCGAGACCATTCACTTGAGAGCGATACAATAGGGTTGGTCTGGTTTTAATTTTTAGACAAGCCACCCTGCCAGTTTCCAAGCAGTAGTCCATCTCGAGAACATCTCGGTGGTGCACTTACAATGTGTTACAGGATGACCCCTTCGTCAGAACCCTCACACCTAAGCCTTCGTGTTCCAGAACACATTCATACACCCTTAAGGCACTTCAAGCCTTAGATGACCACCCGCTTTGGGCTGCATTCACAAGCAACCTGAATCCAGGGTGAAGCTCGAACCCGCGGGACGAGGGCCACCTCCGGCCGGACACCGTCGCCAGAGCAGAGGAAGCGAGCCAGGTTCCTGCACGCTCCTTCCCACCATAGGGTGGCGGTAGTGGCGGCCTCCTTGTGCTCCTCTCCCCACCCCTTCTGTTGAATGTTCTTGCATGTCTCTGCTCCCCCACTGGGTATTCACTTAAATTCACACAAGGAATGCTAATAAAGACCATGGTACATACAGCCTGAAGCTTGTATGTTTCTTCGGACCGCTCCTGTTTGCTGGAGCCCGAGAGCAGAGATACCTGTGGCTGGGGTCATCCTACATTCACCATGCATCTCTTTGTGTGGTAGGGCCTGGGAGGGGGGGGGGGGTCGCTATTAAAGGGCGCTGGGCTAGGTTGGGTCGCTCAATTGTGATTGACACCTCGATGGAATCTGGTATTCCACCTGTTCCAAACACAATAGCCCAACTTGCTGCACGCCTTTATACTTTTCAATTACTCCGTGCAAGTGGTTCCATCTCTCCTCCTTGCCTCCCAAAAACCTGCTTTTTCACAACCCCCCTTCCCCTATACAGTTGGACCACAGCCTCCCTATTGCATTGCCCTTGGGAGTGATTTGTACCACGTGACAACCACCATCATCTCCACCATGAACACCATCATCACCACCAGCATCATCATAACCATGATCACGACCATCATCACCACAATCACCACCACCACTACCATCATCATGACCACCAGCATCACAACCATCACCACCATCACCAACACCATCACCACCATCAGCACCATAATCATCACCAATACCAATATCCTCCATTCGCCACGAAGTGGCGGTGACGTCACCACGCCGTCTGTGCCAGGCCAGGTGCACTGTGTGGCCACGTGAAGTGTCGACGGCTCGCTGACAGGACTAAGATGACTGGCAGAAGCACCACCAGCTGTGTCTCCTACTGTGCCACGACCACCATCACCACCCACATCACCATCGCCACCACCATCACCACCACCATCACCCAGGAGCGTAACGAGTGTGGGGGGGGAGCCTAAGCTACGAGTTTGGAGGGGTCCACCCTTGACAACCACCCACCATGATATTTAGTTTTCAACAACAGCAACCGTGTGTTCAAAAAGAACCCCAACTACTTATTTACAAACTTTCTTTTTTAACGAAAACTCATTTATTTTAAGGTTGCACTTTTTTGTCGTGTTATTTTAATCTTAATTAGAGCAGGAACCACGTAGCGAAGTGGTACTACTATGGACGTGTAGTGGCTGAATTTTGCGACGATGGGAGGAGCGGTCACACCCTCCTTACAGCGTGAAATATTCCAGACCGTGACGAGAGTAACGACGACGTGATTTTCGATTAGGATGATTCCGATGAGCTATGAAAATATTTTCGTCACAGATGTCTAGTTAAGGGCACGGGGTCAGAACGTTACAACAACAACAAACACAATACAAAGTTCAAGAAAGGTAAACAAATCACCCTAAACACATACAAACACAAACTAAACCATTCCCTATATATAATATAGAGTCTCTAGGGTGTGAAGAGACAAATCACAAGATTGGGGTGGACCCTAATCTGAACCGATTAGTGCAACACCTCCTGAGATGATGATCGTTAACTACGTTCGACTGACAATGGGAACGAGATGTTAACTACCTCGCCTAGTATGCACGAGGTCGTGGGTTCGATCCCGACCCTGATGCCTGGATATGTGGAGTTTGCGTGTTTCTCTAGGCTCTCCGGTTTTTCCCTCCACATTTAGAATCAATGTCGCGCGTTCAGAGTATCTGGCTGCTATAAATGTCCTACTTGATTATCCATGTTCGTTTACATATCAATTGTGGATAGATAGTACCTCAGTGGGCCTTAACTGACAAAATAAAAAAAGTTGTTAAGTTCTAGTTTAGTGTCTCCCACATCCCGCCCACCTCTCCCTTCCCTGCGCCATGATGGCTCGGAGATGTTAACGCCTTCACTTTGGATGCAAGAGTTGGTGGGTTTGATCCCGACACTGGCACCTGCTGTGTATTTGGAGTTTGCGTGTCTCTCTCCCCGTTTGCGTGTCTCTCTCTCTGGGTCCTCTGCTTTTCCCCTCCACATTTAAAATTAACATCACGGCGTTTAGAGTATTTGCCTGCTATAAACATGATTATGAGCCACTTCATTGAGCTATTCATTGTGGCCAGGTCGCGTCTGGAAGAAAAAAAAGCTATACCACTAAGTGGGGCCTTGCCTGTTCGTTCGTTTCTCAATCTGCTTGTCCTGCTGAGGGTCATGAAGGATGCATTTTGAGTAGGGCCGTTCAGATCTACCGTTCCCTGGTGACAGACTTTAGCTCTTCGTGGGGAATTCCCAAACGTTCCAAGGCCAGCCAAGGGACATAGTCCAGCCAGGATGTCCTGGGCTGTCCCTGGAGTCGTCCCCCAGAGGGACATTCTCGGTAAATTTCCAGGTAGAATGTACTGGGGAGCATCCTTACCAGGTGCCCGAATCACCTTAGCTATCTCCTCTCGATTTGGAGGAGCAGCAGCTCAACTCTGAGGCTCTTCCGGATTACCGAGCTCCTCGGCCGATCATGGAGAGTAAGCCTGGCAACCCTGTGGAGAAACCTCAATTCAGCCTCTTGTACCCACGATATTATCCTTTCGGTCATTACCCGAAGCTCATGACCATAGGTGAAGGTGGGAATGTAGAACAACCTATAAACTGAGGGTTTTGTTCGAGAACTCAGCACCCGCTTCACGACCACGGAATGGTACAGCACCCCCAACACTGCTGACGCTACACCAATCTCACGCTCCTACTTACATTCACTCATGAAAGAGACCCGAGGTAGTTAAACTCCTCCACTAAGGGCAGTTGTTCCCCCCTCATCTGGAGAGCACAAACTACTGTCTCCCAGAAGTAAACCATGAGCTTATATTTGAGGTGCTGATCCTCATCCCAGCCGCTTAACACTCAGCATCAAACCATTCAAATGCACACTGGAGATCACAGCCATCTGAAAAATCAGCAATGCCACCTCCATGCTCCAGTAATAGATACTCTCCATACCTCGGCTGCACCTTGATATCCTGTCCATGAAAATCGCATACAGGAGTGGAGACAATACACACTCGTGGCAGAGTCCAACACCCACAGCGTCTGACTTTTATTTGAGACCAAAAATACGGACACAGCTCTCACTCCAGGAAACAGAGAGACTGGATAGCACACAAAGCGACACTGGTACATCATACTCTTGCAGCACCTCCCACAAGGCATTGAGAGGAACATGGTCACATGCCTTCTCTAAGGCTAGAAAGCAGAGGTAGACTGGAGAAGTATATTCGTGTGAAGACCGAAACACAACAGATTACTTATCTCACATAGTCTGTATGCTGTGTGTGCAAACACGGGCAGTCAGAAAGTGAAACAAGGCCTTGGATTGGTGCCCCTAATATAGGAGAGACCACGTGGGATGGATGACGGAGAAAGGGGAGGGCATGTCCTCCAGGTTGAGGAGTTCCTCAAAGTGTTCCTTTCACCTCTCGACTATCTCCTTAGTTGAGTTCTATGTTACACACCCTTACTGAGAACAGCCTGGGCCACGTCCCATCGAGCCCTCCTAAGGCATCAGACGGTTTACCAGAACATCTTTGAGGCTGCCCAGTAGTCTCTTTCCATGGCCTGTTCAAACTCCTCATTTCAGCAACTGCTCCTCATTTCAGCAAATGCTGGCATTTGGGCTACGCCCATTTCAGACCCTTCTAAACAATTTGCCTTTAGAAGCTAACCCCCTTTTCCTGATGACGACTGCTTGTGTTGCGATCGAAACGTCGTAGTTTTAGTTTTTTTATTTGTCTTTAAAACCTATCTACGTAACTTTACCGAATGACCCAAAGAATATGTACTCCCCTGAAGTGTAAAAAAGAGTTTTCCCGGAGATGGACGTTGAAATCTTTCTGCACTGGGTCTTACGCCAGACGTTCCCAGAAAAGCTGCACAATTCGTTTGGGCATTCCATGTCTAACTGGTCGGTGCCCCAAGCATCGGATCTAACTTACCAACAGGTGGTTATTAGCTGACAGCGCTGCCCCTCTCTTCACCCGAGTGTCTAGAACTTACGGCCTTACGTCTGATGATAACTATAGATTAAATCAATATCCTTTGGCCCAAGGAGCTCTGGTAGCAAGAACACTTATGAACATCTCTGTGTTCGAACATGGTGTTTGTTATTGATATTCCATGACTAGCACATAATTAAAATAACATCTCACCGTTCGGGTTGAGGCGGGGCCATTCTTCCCAATCATGTCTCTCCAGGTATTCCCATTGTTTCTTACGTGAGCATTGAAGTCGCCCAGTAAGATTATGGAGTCGGTAGGTGGCACTCTGCACCCACCATCTCCAAGAAGGCCGAATACTCTCAAATGCCATTTGGTGCATAAGTTACAGACAAGTCAGAGTTTTCCTTTCTTAGACCCAAAGTCCCATTGAGGCAACCCTCTCATCCACTGGGACAAACTCCAACTGAATAGCACCCTGCTGGGGGCTTGTGAGTATCCCCATACCCGTCCGGGGCCTCTCACCAGAGGTTACTCCAGAAAAGGGTTACATGGGTCACCCAGCTACCAGGCACTTAGTGGTAAGCACCACCCCCAGGCCTGGTTTGAGGGGAATGTTCATGTATACCTTGTCTGGCGAGGTTCTCCAATTTTTATATTTCTGAACCATTCAAAAGGGGTTTTTTTCGGACCGATATTTGTTTGTAACCTCCCCCCAGATCTGTTCGCCAAGGGAAACTCTACCAAGAGTACACGACTCCAGGCGACATCGCTCTGAGGGTCATTGGAACACACAAACGCCACCACCAGTATGAGGTCACGATCCTTCGGTGGGGGCGGGGGGAGGCCTTGGCTGGAAAAAAATAAAATGCAGTTTTAGTTTAGTGTCTCACTGTGCCACTCTCCCCCTACATTTGCTATCTCCTCCCCAGGTGATCTACGTCGCATGTAACGCCAAGGACAACGCTGTATCCGCCTTCCACTTTGAAAATATGAACCAGCACCAGCCAGGGCCTGGCACTTGGGAGGAATACCTGCATCGCTTCATGACCGGCAATGGTGGAGGAACCTGGGTTATTGCAGCCACAGTCGCTATTGGTCCCCCTCCCCCCCACACTACTATACTAGTAGTGGGGAACCGAATTCATTTCACATGGCCCAGAACTTAATTTAATCATGAACACAAACACAGATATAGGTACACAAAGACCCCCTGTTTAGCCTTAATCAACTGTTAGGGCAAGTACTGTTATCAAGCAGCACCTATAAAGGCCGGCACGGCACACCAGGGGCAGGTGGCCAGCAGAACGCCCAATCGCCTTTGTTTCCCTAGTGGGGATGCTTATATGAAGCATCAGGTACTCATTTGAGTCTGAGTCCACCTAGGGGAGGCCCAAAACTGGTTCAAACAATCGTCACTGGTGTTGGCCGTGAGGGGAAATAGAAACATTGCTATCACGATTAATGCGCTTATACTGTAAGTAGAAAAATAAGTAAATAATCACTGAGTCTGCAAGAGAGCTCTTTCCACTTCCAAAACAGAAAACATAATGTAGATGTAATGAGAGAACGCCATATAAGGGACGACGAGGGGTAATTGCATGGTCACTGCTGGGTAACTAATATCCAATGAGAAGGAAGGGTTCCATCTGGGCCAAAGCTAACGGCAGGAGCTCGTGGGAATGTACGGGAACCATCGGGAAGGTTCCACGAGGGGGCGTGGCTAGATGCGGAAGCTTAGCTCCACCGAGGGCAAAATAAAGAGAGGCAATGAGAGGACTGGGTCGGTGTGGGGAGCAATGGAGTCCGGACTGCGTCATCGCCTCCCTCTACTCGCCACCGGCCACGTGGCGGCCTATGCCAACGACGCCTTCTCTCCCTCCAGCGCGCCGCCAGCCAGCGGTGAGCGTGGAGAGAGAGAGACGCGCCGCGATGGTGGTAGAGGAAGTGCGCGCGTTACGGCAACAGAGAGAGAGATAGAGGGAAGCCATCCGGATGGAGAGAGCGGAGCTCTGAAAGCCGTTGTTAACATTCGTCGTGGAAGTGCTTTATTACATAAACAAAGCCCAGTGGAGGTCTAAACTTTTACCGAATAGAACCAAAGAGTATGAGGTCTAAAATCTCATAAATGGGTGTTGTTGTTTGGCTACGCGCATGACTCAGCCCCCACGTACGAGTGCTCAGATGGGCTGAAATTGGCAACCGCTTGCATAACGTAAACACATATACCATTACATCAACATTTTAGCATTAGTTGACACCATAGTGAGTCCTATGGGGGATGAAACGTTAATCTCAAAAACCATTAATGGTAGTCATACCGAAGGACTACTGGACAAGTCACCTGACCTCAAGGGATGCAATTTATTGCATCCTGACGTGAGTTTTTAACGTGCCAACACGGTCGCTCCACATCCTCCTTCCCACAGTGTGCTGGGGCTCGTGGTATGATCATGTGACCGGGTGGTGGAATGTGAGGGAGCGGCACCGGATTCTCTACCTCTTCTTCGAGGACATGAAGGAAGTAAAAGGCCGCAGAACATTCTGGGACATTGCATAGATACACATGTGTCATTAAACTCGCCACCATCTGACGCATCCAATTAATAAGGTTCGTCACTCTGAACAAAACATGACAATTAGTGACTAGTTCAGCACACCGGTGTGCTGGAGAGTAAACCACAACATTTACAATATTGATGTTAGGTAGATTTGGCCCAAGTCAGATAAAAGGTAAAGTGGTCATCTCAGCCAATGCCACCACATCTCACTGTTTTAATTATTATCATCCAACAAACACATTCAGAGGTCTAGGTTCTGTGGGCTGAACTTGGTTGACATCACAAGCATGAGTTGATGCTAGTGTAGGGGACTGTACAGAGAAAGTGCTAGAAGGCATGTTTTGAAATAATTAGGAACAGATGGCCAGAAGGCACTAAACTCCCTATTCAATAAAGATCACACCTATGATAAGAGAGTGGGGAGGGGGGGGCACTGTCCAATAGGGGCGGGGCCAAGCGAGTATATGAGGGGAAGCAAGGCCCGCAGTCGAAGCGCTTGCCCCAGGACTAATGGACGATAAAGGTGGACGACATCGGGGCCAACTTTTTTTGAACAACTTGGTGGAAACTATCAGGACTGAAGAGAGTCGTAGTAATTACAGGTGTGGTGGTTGTTATACTCGGAACTGTAAATACATTATGATAGAAATAAAGTTTCTACTTCTACAAAATGGACTTTTCCAAGAAGCTTCTTTACACCTGTGTAGTGACTAACTCTGGAGACGAATAAGAGTTGTAGGCACTTTCTTTATTAACCAGCACCGTCAGGGTTAACACTTTCTAATAAGTTCATCTGTGATCAGCAACGTTACTTAGTCAGGACAGTTGGTAGGCTGCCTGACTGGTGGCGTTCCGAGATGGTGAAGACGGAGATGACGAGTCGAAGGATGGTGAAGACTTCAGCAGCGCGATGGAGATCCCACTCGAAATGAAAGCCCTGAGGTGCCGCACAGGGGCCCTTCTTATTCTGTCAGCGTGGCCTGACTTTGCCCCCAGCCACGCCCCGTTTCAAGAAACTTGATGTGCCCCCTCTTTGACCTTTCCCGTAGATCTCCCTCTGGTGTAAAACCTGGCCTGCTGGCGTCAGAGCTGCTGTAAGCCACAGATCCCCTTCCCTGCCAGCAGCCAGCGCTATGCTGCTACATTACTGATTCTATCCCACTACATTATCCCCCCCCCCCCCGTAAAAAAAACCAGCCGTCCCGGCTGACATCAATCACCTATGTAGAGGGGAACTGCAGAAATGTGCTAATGCAACAAGCTAACATGGAAAAATAACGGATTCTAGGCGAAGCCTCTCAACAATGAAGCCGAACCGCAAGGAAGCGAATGATAGAAAAGGGCGGGTTATCTGAACAAAATACTTTTCGAGCGGGTCCTCGCCGCCAGACCTCCAGCTGGGATGAGAATTGGCATGCTAGGGACCCTCGGGGAGACAAAGGCGTCCGGGTGTGATGCTAGCCTTCATAGGTGTTATTCGCTAACAGTCGATTGCCCCAATATTCTGTTAAGACTATATGGGGGATCTTTGTTTTTGTATTGTCAGCAGGCCTGGACTGGCGATAGGGCAGGAGTCCATAGGGCAAACGTCCCTCTAATGTGTACATTTGATTGATTATTTACACTCTCGATTGGCTAAGTCTCCAGTAGTATTAGGAAGCCCCCAATTACTTTTCCTCACCGGCGGCATCACCCATTCGGTTTTTTTTTATCCATTCCCAAATGGTACCAATGAGGATCACCACGGACAATTTGGGGCCGGGTGTGTGTCTTTCTAAAACGACTGGGGACCCGCTTTGTTTAGTCCCACAGCCTCGTTACTTACTGATTGTAAGCATAAAGCTCCCCCACCCCTTCTTCCCCCCTTGTGCGTGCTGAGGACCCCATGCGTGAGGTGTCCCGCATCGCTCGCTTCCTGGAGCGGCCGCTGTCCGAGCAGCAGCTGCGTGAGGTGGTGAAGCTCACCTCCTTTCCCGTGATGCGCGACAACCCCATGACGAATTACAGCACCGTGCCCACGGACTTCATGGACCACTCCGTGTCGCCCTTCATGCGCAAGGGTAAAGATCTCAACGTTTTTGGAGGCTCAGTCGGGACACACGGTGCTAATGATGATGGTGGTGGTAGTAGTGATGGGGATGATCTTAATTCCAGCGGTTTTGAGCAGGAGGCTCGTGAAAGACGCTGCTACTGGGCAGTTGGAGGCAGTCGCCCTCCAGCAACAATGGAGGGCAAAGGACCGACGCTCACAACAATGAGCGGAACACCAGGGAAGCTAAAACACAGAAAGTTGGCAGAGTAGGGGGCACAGGTGGTGCATCTGCCAGTCATTTTAATCAGTCAACCTATGGCACATGGGTCTGTCCCATGACCTCCTGCCAGCGGGCGTTCGACACTTCACGTGGCCTTAAAGTGCACATAGCATCGCACAATCAATGACGATCTCACTTCGTGGAGAATGGCAGTTGTTGATGGTGATGATATTGAGACAACCCCATGAAGAATTACAGCACCGTGCCCCGGCGACCCAAGTTCCATTCCGGCTAACGGCCAACATTGGTGATGATAATCTAAACTGACCCTGGGCCTCCCCTAGGTCGACAAAGGCGGGCGGGCGTGGTGCTTGGCACCCATGTCCTCGTGTGTCTTCATAGGTGCTCGCTAAGAACACTTACCCCAACAGTTTGTTAAGGCTATATGGGGCATCTTTGTCTTTGCAGGGGAGGTGGGTGACTGGAGGAATGACTTCTCTGCTGCTCAGTTGGAGGCTTTTGAGCAGCACTACAAAGATAAAATGGCTGCCACTGACCTGTGCCTGAGAGACTGTCTGCCCTGAAGGCAGGCGTCTTTCCCACTGCTCCTGACTGTATCCATGATCTTATTTGGCTATAAGTAATGATACTTATACTAATTTCACATTATATATAGCGTCATTCATGCTGATTGTATCCCACAACGCTGTACAATAAATATGTACATAATCACATTTAGGGGTGAATCCTATTTAAACCAATTATGAAGTAAAGGGAAACTCTCAGGAAATAAATAAGTAAGGTTGCTATACTCGTGAGTTACGAAAAAATCGGGACACATGAGGAAGAATAAGGCAATCTCACCATTTCAAAAGAGGTAAAAGATTCATGTAAATACCTTCTTTGAGCAGCGTAATATTATTAATTTGAAATTGACTCAATACATTTGATTTTGATTTGAGGAATCCATACTCTTTGGTTCTTTCGGTAAAAGTCACATAGATAGAAAATTAATAAATTACGATGTTTGGATCGCAACACGAGCGACCGTCTTCAGGTGAGAGAGCGAAAGCTACTGAAACAAGGTCTTATATAGGCCTGAGATGGGTGCAGCCTCAGGGTAAGAGTGCGTGGCTAGAGATGGTCTCCCTGAGGCTGTGGAAGTGGCTATTGAATTGTGAGAGATTAGCATGTCAGTGCACGAGCTTAGAATGTCGCAGCATCAATAACTTGCCTAGTATGTCACAGCATCGGTGACTGAGCGAGAAGGATATCCAGCCCGTCAATACAAAGACATCCAACCTAATAATGCAACTCAGAGAGTCAGCTAAAATCGCAGGAAGGATGGGAACATCACAGCAGGTTACGACTTTACCTGGATTATCACGTCCTTGCAATGATTGCTCAATCTGTACCCATCTTCTCGGATGAAGTTGTGTCTGTGTTTCTTTATCTGGATGGCTTCATGAACAAATCTCTGATGATAGCCCGATGGTTTTGCAGAGCACCTTCGTCTCGGAAAAAGCAATATCATGTGTGCCCACAGCGTTAAAACAATGATCAGCAACGGCAGAGATATTGGTCCTACCGTGCTTCAGATCCGCTTTGTGTTCACGAACCCGGTCTGAGACACGTCACTTCATTTAACCCATGTAACTGCTGCCGCAGACACAACTTAGCTTATAGACACCAGGACATTGCATGTCAGGAATCACATCCTTCACCGATGGGATCAAATCACGGATTTTGTGTACTGTATTGAAACGAACTTGGAGCTTGTGTTTGTTCAAGATTTTGGAAGAAAAAAAATCGGTAACTCCTGTTATGTATGGCAAGGTGATGGTTTTTATTGGGTCCTCAGATGGTTGCCTCCCAATAGCTGGGGAGACAGCTTTGCGGATTGTGCGGTCAGAATATCCATTCATCCTGAGAACCTGCATACGTGCTCAAGCTCACGGGCTAGGTAGAGCTGGTCGGAAATGCAATGAGTTTCAGACCGGGTTCGCGGTAGCGGATCATTGTTTCAACGCTGTGGACACACGTGACATTGTTTTTTTCGAGATTAAGGTGCTCTGCAAAACCCTATTTTCAGCCAAGCCAGTTGCGTTAGAACAGACACCTTCCCTCTTGTCACTGGCGGTGACATGTGGAATGATCACACTCGCTTTAGAACTGGTGTGTTTGGTTAAACCACTGGCGTTAGAACTACCCTGTATAGCCAAACCATTGGTGTTAGAACTCCCCCTGTGTAGTCAACGCACTGGTGTTATAACTCCCCTGTGTAGTCAATCCACCAGTGTTAGACATTTCTTTTGTAGTAGATCTATTGGCGTTATAACTCTCCTGTGTAGGCAATTCATCGACTTTAGAATTTCACTTTGTAGCTAATCCACCGGTGTTAGAACTACCCTTTGTAGCCAATCCACCAGTGTTAGAACTCCCCTTCATCGTCAGTCCTTTGGTGGTAAACCTCCACTTTTGCAGGCAATCCTTTGGAGTTATGAATGCCCCCAGTTCTGCGGCTCCGCGCTCTGAATGCTCCTAGTGTTGGAACGAAGAGCAGCAGCAGGAAGAGTTGGAGGAGGAGCTGGTGGAGGTGAGACATGCTCTCTAGAGAGAGAGGGTGGAGAGAGAGAGGGGATAGTAAGATGGTGGAGAACAGGGGAGGGTGGAGAGAGAGGGTGTAGAGAGGGGGAATAGAGAAATGATGGATAGAGGGGGACAGTGGAGAGCGTGGGTGGAGAGAAAGAGATGGTGTAGAGAGGGGGCAGACAGAGAGAGGATGGAGATGGAGGTGGAGAGGAACGAAGAGGGGGAGAGGGGTAGTGGATAAAGAAGGAAAGAGAGAGGGAAGAGAGAGGAGAGAGAGGGAGAAATAGAGGAGGGGAGAGAGAGAGTGGAGAAAGACAGAGTGCAAATAGTGGAGGGGGACAGAGGGGTCGAGATGAAAGGGTGTAGAGATAGAGGGGGATGGAGAGAGAAAAAGGGGGGGTAGAGTGAAGAGAGAAGGAGCGAGAGGGAGAGAGAGGGTGGCATTACTGTCCAGCACCACCGCGGAGATAGGGGGTTGTTTTTGCCAGAAAATAAAAATATACATAGCTGTAATGACAGTAGAATCTACATGCGGTGTGAGTGTACTAGTGGCCACGGGAGGCAATGACAGGGGAATCAGCCTACAGTGCGGATACACTAGTGGCCACGGGAGGTAATGACCAGGGGTGTCAGCTGTGAGTGCGAAGGGACTGGTGGCTCCGGGAATAATCGAGAAGGGAGCGAGGTTCAGGGGATGGAAGAGGACGGTCGAATTTGCTGGTGGAGCGAGGGTCCAGAGTCGGCGAGAAGGTTCGGGGAGGGGAGCCATGGCTTCGGTCCGTGTATAAGGGAGATGTGCGGGAGACTCGAGGCTGTTGCAGTGGGGTCTCCGCCTGTGTAAAGTGAACATGTCTTCAATAAAGTGCCGTCTCAAGAGAAGTGTGTAAAGTCGTCTTTACATACATACACACATACAACAACAACCGCCATTCGCCACTAAGTGGCGGTGACGTCACCAAGACGCTTGTGCCAGGCCATGTGCACCTTGAGGCCACGTGAAGTGTCGAACGCCCGCTGGCAGGAGGCCACAGGGCAGACCCAGGTGCCACGGGTCGACTGACTGAGATGACTGGCTGATGCACCACCTGTGCCCCCTACTGTGCCAGCTGCTGTGCTTTAGCCACCCGGCGCTCCGCTCGTTGGTGTGAGCGTCGCTCCTCCACCCTCCGTTGTTGTTGGAGGGCGACTGCCTCCTCCACAGAGGCCGATCTTGACACCGCTGGTACCAGTCATCGGCAAGTCCACTCAGCTCCACGTCCTCCTGTACCACATCACTCCATCTCTTCTCTAGCCCGTGCCGCGCCCGTTTAGCCCCCTCGATCCGGCCGAACAAAAGCTGTGTCGGCATGCGGTGGCTGGGCATGCGGGCTACGTCACCCAGCCAACGCAGCCTTACCTGCTGGAGGAGCTCACCGATGGGACCCTGCCCAGATCTCTCAAGGATTTGTGAGCTCCTCACACAATCCAGCCTGGTTAAACCCAGGATGGATCGTAGGCAGGCCAGCTTAAATGTTTCCAACCGAGGAAGATGTTCCATTAGGGGGGTCCACACATACACACACATACACACACGCACACACTTCAACCCTCCCTACGTTTTACACAGCTCCCCAGCCCACTCTGATTATTTTAAAGCAATTTAACGGGAGTTCACTATTAACTAAATTATTTTAATTTTAGCAGGTATGGCTCCACTGAGCTCTATAGGAGCTCTTTTTTCAGAAGCTACCTGGCCATCACATGATGATGATAAGCCAACGACGTTGGCTTATCATCATCATCTTATCACGTGGAATTTTAAAGCAGCCAAATCCTCTGAACGCCGTGATGTTCATTCTGAATGTGGAGGGGAAAAAAACGCAGGACCAGAAAAAAATCCACCCGCCCACGTGGAAAGAGAGAGAAAGAGAGAAGCAAACTCCAAATATTCTGCAGACATCGACAGGATTGGGATCGAACTCAGGACTCCCTGTATACCAGGTGAGGGAAGTTAAAGTCTGCTAGCCACTGCGTCGTCAGGGTCAAGATCGAACCCACGACCCCCTGTATACCAGATGTGGTATTTAACATCTCCTAGCCACCGTTGTGTTAGGATTGTGATCGAACCCACGACCTCCTGTATATATCAGGCGAGGTAATTGACATCTCCTAACAACCATGGCACCCACTGTGTAAGTCAGAGTGCTGAGATCATGGGTTCAAAGTACGTTGGTTGAAATCCAGAATTCCCTCTCCCAACCCCTATACCCAAGGCAATGTGAATGGGTTCATCCCAGTTGAGTCTCTGAATAGCAGGTCACGTGACGCTGGTGGCGAAAAGTGTAAAAAAGGGGAATGGTGGTGCAGCGGTTAGCGCTACACTACGCTACAAACCCGGCAACAACCCGAGTTTGATTCCCACTCACGGCCAATAACACCAGTAACAATTATCTCTAACCGGTCCTGGGCCTCCTCCCCCAGGTATACTCAGCCTAAAATGAGTACCTTGCACGTTGTGTAGTAAACATCACCACTGGGGAGACAAAGGTGGCCAGGCGTGGTTGCTGACCACCCACCCCCTCGTGTGCCACAATGCTGACCTTCATAGGTGCTGCTTCTCGTTACTATATGGGAACCTTCGCTTTTGTGTGTCAGTATAGGTGCTCCTCGCTAACAGCACTTACCCCAACGGCCTGTTACAGGCTATACGGGGAATCTTTGCCTTTGTGTGTGAGTGGGTCAGGGTGGGTCAGAGTTGGGGGACGCAGTGGACTCTGCACTGCGCTACAAACCCGGCGATGCCACAGCTCCACCCCCCACCTCCACCCCCTACACTCCCCACTCTGATTCTTAACAGCAACGCAACGGGAGTTCACCCCCACCCCCGCCCAACCCCTTAGCTGTGAGGCACCGTGGCCTGTGTCGCGTAGGCGAGGTCCCCATCCCCTCTGGGCTCTCAGTTTGCCGGCGTCGGTGGGGGGGGGAGTTTGGCATCGCGTCGAGCACCGTTGAGCCGCAAAGTCGGAGGCTGTGGGATCTCAAGCGTCGGCTTGGTTCGTCGTCTGCGTTAAGGTGGTTCATTCTTGTTCAGATGTTTCATCCGTGTCGGGTGTTCATTATTGTTCGTTTGTTCAACCGTGTTCAGGTGGTTCTTCCATGTCAATTGTTCATCCGTGTCAGGTGTTCATCTGTGTGAGGTGTTCATCCGCGTTAAGATTGTTCATCCGCGTTAAGGTGGTTCAGGTGTGTTTAGGTGTTCTTCCGTGTTAGGTGTTCATCTGCGGTCTGGTGTTCATCCGTGTCAGATATTCATCCACGCCCAGCTGTTTATCCACTTCCAGGTTCAACCGCGCCCCGGTGTGTTGAGCAGAACGGGTCACTTGCTTGACATACAGGAGAACAACTTCTCTCTGTGTGTCCGTGTGAGTGCATTTGTTCGTGTGTGTGTGGGTGTATCAGGTGAGTGACACGGTTTGCTATGTACGGTGCTAAAGAAGTTCAAAATAAATGCATAGATAGACTCACACAGAGACCCACAGACTCACATAGAGAACCACAAACTCACACATAGACGCAAAGGCTTCCACAGAGACCCACAGACTAACAGAAATCCGCACACCCACACAGAAACCGACAGACTCACACAGAGACCCCACAGACTCACACAGAGACTCACAGACTCACACAGAGACCCCACAGACTCACACAGAGACTCACAGACTCACACAGAGACCCCACAGACTCACATAGAGACTCACAGTTTGTTGTGCTTCCCCCGCAGCTTTGATCATAAGCACGGTTGGCTACGTACGGTGCGTAAGAAGTTCAAAATGCATGCATGGAATATGCGTGAGTGTGTCAAGAGTGCCTAGTGGGCACGCATTGGACTGTGCACTGCACTACGAACCCGGCTACCCGAGTTAAATTAAATTCCCACTCACGGCCACCGACGCCAGTGACGATTATCTGCACCGGTCTGGGGCCTCTCCCTACGTAGGTCCACTCTGACACAAAACGAGAACCTGGTGCGGTGGTGTGTAGCAAAGATCGCCACTGGGGAAAGAAAGGCGGCCGGGCGTGGTGATGGCCACCCACCCCTTCGTGTGCCACAGTTCCGACCATCACAGGTGCTCGCAAACAGCACTTGCCCCAACAGTTTGTGAAGGCAATATGGCGGTGCGTTTGTCTTTTCTTTTGTTCGTTTTGCATTGAGTTGTTGAGATAAAGTGAGAGCTATTTGTATTTTACCACATCAGACCCCACCGAGATGTATAGCAGCAGCCAAGTAATTCTAAACACGTGCCATTGATTCTAAATGCGGAGGAAAACCGGAGGATCCGGAGGAAAATCAACGCGCTCACGGAGACAGAGACACCTCAAAATAATCCAAATATGCAGAAGGCGTCGTCAGGATCGGGATCAAACTCACGATCTCCTGTATACCAGGCGAGGTATTTAACATCTCCTAGCCACCGCCGTGCCCACTGTGCATACGTTAGAGCGCTGAGATCCTGGGTTCAAAGTAGGGTGGTTAAAATCGATAACTCCCTCCCCCACCCCTATCCCCTGAGCAATGTGAATGGGTTCATCCCATTGAGTCTGTGATCAGCTGATCATCTGGTGGTGGTGGGGTAAAATGTGGATTTGCCGACCTCTTCCAACATTATTGGCTTTAGTCAGCTTAGCAAATGATTCACCTGAGCTACTGGAGAGGATAGACCGATGTTTGTAGGCAACTGTGCTCATCGGAGGTGCTGTGGAAGGATGATAAGCTATGGGTCTCTATGTGAGTCTATGGGTCTCTGTGTGATGAGTCTACAGGTCGGTATGATGAGTCTACGGGTCTCTGCGTGATGAGTCTACGGGTCGGTGTGATGAGTCTATGGGTCTCTGTGTGAGTCTATGGTTCTCTGTCCGAGTCTATATGAACTTAATGTTGAACTTCTTTCACACTGTACGTAGCAAACCGTACTAATCGGAGGTAAGGGGGAAGTACAACAAACTATAGGTGTCTGTGTGAGTCTATGGGTCACTGTGTGATGAGTCTATGGGTCTCTGTGTGATGAGTCTACGGATCTCTGTGTGGTGAGTCTACGGGTCTCTGCGTGATGAGTCTATGGATCTCTGTGCGAGTCTATGATGGGCTCCCGTTCACCGCCGAAACTCGGTATACACGTGGGTGGCTCAGCATTAATTTTATTTACAGAAAGGCGTACTCACAGTTGCGCCGATGATTTTTTATAAAGACGTCGTAAGTCACGGCAGAGAACCGTAGTGACATGACCGCAACAACTGTGCCACAGAAGCATGGCATTGTGGGAGCCTAGGTACTGGGAGATATTTCATTTTAGTTTCGTTTCCCGTTCTGTATGTGGTACACACGTACCACATATGTCATCGCAACGTATGAGCGTCATCAGAATGTACCATGTGCATCGTCGGAACGGAATCAGAAGAAAAACTGATGACGTACACGTAATTGGAACAGGAAGATTTTTAGTTGGCTAATAACAGTTTTGACTGCCAGGTAACAAAGGTTTAGCTCACGTGGCCGAGTGGGTGAGAATGTGCTGCCCCCTATTGTGAGCTTGAAGAAACGATATAACCCACACTTCAAAGATTAAGATCCCCCATATAGCCTTAACAGACTGCTCGGCCAAGTGCTGTTAGCGAGTAGCAGCACCAATGAAGGCGGGAATAGCACGCGAGGGGGTTGGTGGTCAGAACCACGCACGGCCGCTTTTGTCTCCCCAGTTGCAATGTTTTTACACACTGAGCCATTTCATCATTTGAGGCTTAGTGGACCTAGTGGAGCAGGTACCAGGACCAGTTCAGATGACCGTAATTGGTTTTGACAATGAGCGGAAATGTAACCTGGGTTCGTAGCGCCACGCATTAACCGCTATACTACCGCTCTCCCACGCACAAACACACAAGTGTGTGGGCAAGTTTGCAACTGCGAGTTCGCGTTTTAAGTTAATGTAAGAAATATATTTCACAGATGCTGGTTCGTAAGTGCGGGTGTTCATACATTGGATATTCGTAAGTCGAGGACTGTCTGTCGCACAAGGTATTCAATTAGCAGTGTGTAACTCTGCAGAATATCACTGATGAGCTCCAATGTATACGAAACTCTGACTCGAACCCAGGTCTCCTGTGCTTACCAACGAAGTCCTCGGGATCAATAAACTGGGCAGACGACTCAACCAACGGTTTTCTTTCCTCCTCACCTGCTTCCAACTCTCCTAGCATCCTACTTGCTGAGCTGCTGGTATGGAGAGGCCCAAACTGGAGCCGGTGCATGGAGTCCCCATGCTGGACTTCATAGCGAGGGACTGGAGCCTGGTGGAGTCGTTTAAAGCCAGGCCCGGAGACCTCCTCATAGCGACTTACCCCAAGGCGGGTGAGTATTAACAGAAGCAGCAGCATCATCATCAGAATCACCACCACCTTCATTATTATCATCACGACCACTGCTAGAACCATCATCACCATCATCACCACTGCTTCGACACTCAAAATTATGATAACCAACATCATCATCACCGCCACCTCCATCACCAACACCACCACCACCTTCATCACCACTTCTACCATCTTCAACAACACCAACCGCCATTCGCCACAAAGTGGAGGTGACGTCACCACGACGCTCGTGCCAGGCTATGTGCACGTTAAGGCCATGTGAAGTGTCGAATGCCCACTGGCAGGAGGTCACAGGACAGACCCAGCAGGTGTCGTGGGTCTGCTGACTGTGATGACTGGCCAATGCACCACCTGTGCCCCCTACTGTGCCAACTTGCTGGTTTTAGCGGCCCGGCACTCCGCTCGTTGTTGTGAGCATCACTCCTCTGCCCTCCGTTGTTGCTGGAGGACGACTTTCTCCAATTACCCAGTAGCGTCCTTCACGAGCTTCCTCTACAGACGCCGAACTTGACATCGTTGGTACCAATCATTGGCAAGTCCACTCAGATCTACAAACTCTTGTATCACATCACTCCATCTCGTCTCTAGCCCGTGCCATGCCCATTTAGCCCACTTTATCCGGCCGGACAAAATATGTTTAGGCATGCGGTGACTGGGCATGCAGGCTTAATGATCCAGCAAACGCAGCAATGCCTGCCAGAGGAGCTCACTGATAAGACTTTGTCCAGATCTATCAAGGATTTGTGAGCTCTTCACATAATCCAGCCTTGTTACACCCAGGATGGCTCATAGACAAACCAAGCTATAGTAAATGTTTATAACCAGCAAAGATGTCCCAGTAGGGGGGTCCACGTTTCGCAAACGTAGAGAAGGAAGTACATGACCATGGCCTAGAAGACCTAAACCATCACGTGGGTGACAGACCAGGTAGCTTCCACGCAGCATTACACATCCGATGAAAAGATAATCCCACTTGACTGATTCGGAGTGAGACCTCTGCTGTCATCTCGAGCTGGCCATAAGCACACCATCCAGGTATGGAAAATATCTACACTCTCTCCACAACTGCTCCATCACCAAACGGGAGCTGATGGGGTGTAGTGTTTGCTGGCACAAAACACCCAGGTAGGTGCTTACTTTTGTTAGAGCTGATGGTAAGGTCCTACTTCTTAGGGGCACGCTACAATTCGAACAGCAGCATCTTAAACTCCTTCTCTTGGTGAGCCGAAATCACCAGATCATCGGCATACTTAACATGCTTGATCAATAGGGAGCTATTCATTGAACACCACGACTACCACATTCATCATCATAACTACCACCCTCACAACCACCACCTTAAATCACCACCACTGCTACCACCGTCATCAATATCATCACTACTGCTGCGACAATGATAATCATCAAAACCACCACCATCATCACCACCACCACCTTCATCACCAACATTGCGACCATGATCATCAACAGCACTATAACCAAATTCATAATTATTATGACCACCATCTTCATTACCACCATCTTCATTACCATCACGACTCCCACATTCATAACACTATGTAACACAAATTTTTATTTCTGGGTAGTAAGTGTTATTTCGTATTTGCGCCTGTCTAAAAAGTATAGGAAATGGCTATTATTCCCCACAAACTTTTCTTTTGTGACCAGGACATTGATATTTTGGAATTTACTTATTTTCTATGAGAAAACGGGCAAATTTGTGTATTTTCGTTCAAATAAAGTCAGAAAAAATATGAGTCAAAATTTACTTGTATTTATACTAAAGTAATAAAAAAATTACTACAAAATATTTAGACACCAAGGCGCACTACCACAAGCGGGACTGGTCACAGCGGACCCCCACCCCTCTAACTCTCTTAGGCACCACATGGACCCAGGAGATCGTGGATCTGATACTGAGCGGAGTGGACGTGGAGTACTGCAAACGCAGCCCTATGTACGAGAGGATCATCTTCATGGAGTGGACGGGCATAAATTTCGTGATGCATCGCAAAGGTGATGGCAGGAGTGGACTAAAGTCAACTATTGAATTTCGATTTAAAGCTTTCGTGACTGCAGGGATTCATCTTCTTGGTTCTTTTGGTAAAGTCACGTAGAATGGAAATAATAAAATAATAATAAAAATTACATTATAAAATAAAATTCTCACGACGTTTCGCCCACAATGCAAGTAGCCTTCCTCAGGTGAAGAAACATAACTGTCTTTCCGACAGAAACAGAACTGTCTTTCCGACAGTTCTGTTTCTTCACCTGAGGAAGGCTACTTGTGTTGTGGCCGAAACGTCGTGAGAATTTTATCATTTTTTATTTTTATTATTTTATTATTTCCCTTTACGTGACTTTACCAAAAGAACCAAGAAGATCAACTATTGAATGTTTTACTTTTACCCGGTGTAAGTCCCCAATTGAGCTACATAGCTCTTTTTTAGTTGCGACCTGGCCCACAGAGACCCATACTCATAGAGACCCACAGAGACCCATACTCATAGAGACCCACAGAGACCCATACTCATAGAGACCCACAGAGACCCATACTCGTAGAGACCCACAGAGACCCATACTCATAGAGACCCACAGAGACCCATACTCATAGAAAACCCGTACTCGGAGATTCACAGAGGCTCAGAGACTAATCCGCATAGACCCAATCTCATAGAGAGACACTCAGACACCCACAGACCCGTACTGAGAGGCACCCATACTCCGAGACCCATACTCATAGAGACCCACAGCGAACCACAGAAACCCATACTCATAGAGACCCACAGTGACCCATAATCATAGAGACCCACAGAGACCCATACGCATAAAGACCCACAGAGACCCATACGCATAGAGACCCAGAGAGACCCATACTCATAGAGACCCACAGGCACCCATACTCATAGAGACCCACAGAGACCTATACTCATAGAGACCCATACTCATAGAGACCCACAGCGACCCATACTCATATAAAACCGGACTTATAAACTCGCAGGGGCTCAGAGACTCATCCGCAAAGACCCACTGTCAAACCAAAACACTCAGATACCCACAGTCCCATACTGAGAGAACCATACTGCGAGACCCATACTCACAGAGACCCACAGCGACTCACAGAAACCCATACTCATAGAGACCCACAGAGACCCATAATCATAGAGACCCATACTAAAACTAAACTATTTTTTTATTTTACTGGGTAAGGGTCCACTGACCTACGTAGCTATTTTTAATCAATTTCTTCAAAATAAACTACTACTACATCATCACCACGTGAGAATTGATTGCAGCCAAAATAAAGATAATTGCTGATTCATAATAATGGTACTTTTTGGCTAGATTACGTAAATGTGTCATTATTGATAATGCGTGGTCATGGGCGGCGCGGTGGTTAGGGGAAGTTAATTACCTCGCCTGGTATACAGTAGCTGGTGGGTTCGATCCCGACCCTGACAATGCCCTGCTCTATATTTGCAGTTTTTATTTTCCCATATAAAGCACTTCGTTGAGCTAACAATAATGACAGCCGTGTCGCTTTAAAAAAATAACAATATACAGCTCAGTGGGGCTTACCTGGTAATATTAAAAACAAGTTTAGCTTAGAATGACCTATATATATGGGTCTCTGTGCGAGTTTTCGGTAAGATGAAAAAGACTTAGTTTGTATTTGTACAATTTTTAAGTGATTTGTTTAGCTTTCCTAAACATTACGCTCATGTAGTGTTTGTGGATTGTGTTTATTCTTGTGACGTTTTAAACCCGTGCCCATACTCGACATCTGTGAAAAAGAGCTTTAGAACTCATCGGATTCCTCCAGAATGAATAAATATTCCGTGGCGAAGTTCATCGGCAAGTTGGCTAGGAGATTAAACCTTCCTCGACTGGTACAGTGAGGGAAAAAAGTATTTTATCCCCTGCTGATTTTGTACGTTTGCCCACTGACAAAAAAATTATCAGTCTATAATTTTAATGGTAGGTTTATTTGAACAGTGAGAGACAGAATAACAACAACAAAATCCAGAAAAACTCATGTCAAAAATGTTATTTGCATTTTAATGAAGGAAATAAGTATTTGACCCCTCTGCAAAACATGACTTAGTACTTGGTGGCAAAATCCTTGTTGGCAATCACAGAGGTCAGACGTTTCTTGTAGTTGGCCACCAGGTTTGCACACATCTCAGGAGGGTTTTTGTCCCACTCCTCTTTGCAGATCTTCTCCAAGTCATTAAGGTTTCGAGGTTGACGTTTGGCAACTAGAACCTTCAGCTCCCTCCACAGATTTTCAATGGAATTAAGGTCTGGAGACTGGCTAGGCCACTCCAGGACCTTAATGTGCTTCTTCTTGAGCCACTCCTTTGTTGCCTTGGCCATGTGTTTTGGGTCATTGTCATGCTGGAATACCCATCCATGACCCTTTTTCAATGCCCTGGCTGAGGGAAGGAGGTTCTCACCCAAGATTTGACGGTACATGGCCCCGTCCATCGTCCCTTCGATGCGGTGAAGTTGTCCTGTCCCCTTAGCAGAAAGACACCCCAAAAGCATAATCTTTCCACCTCCATATTTGACGGTGGGGATGGTGTTCTTGGGGTCATAGGCAGTATTCCTCTTCCTCCAAACACGGCGAGTTGAGTTGATGCCAAAGAGCTCCATTTTGGTCTCATCTGACCACAACACTTTCACCCAGTTGTCCTCTGAATCATTCAGATGTTCATTGGCAAACTTCAGACGGACATGTATATGTGCTTTCTTGAGCAGGGGGACCTTGCAGGCGCTGCGGGATTTCAGTTCTTCACGGCATAGTGTGTTGCCAATTGTTTTCTTGGTAACTATGGTCTCAGCTGCCTTGAGATCATTGACGAGATCCTCCTGTGTAGTCCTGGGCTGATTCATCACCGTTCTCATGATCATTGCAACTCCGCGAGGTGAGATCTTGCATGGAGCCCCAGGCCGAGGGAGATTGACAGTTCTTTTGTGTTTCTTCCATTTGCGAATAATCGCACCAACTGTTGTCACCTTCTCACCAAGCTGCTTGGCAATGGTCTTGTAGCCCATTCCAGCCTTGTGTAGGTCTACAATCTTGTCCCTGACATCCTTGGAGAGCTCTTTGGTCTTGGCCATGGTGGAGAGTTTGGATCTGATTGATTGATTGCTTCTGTGAACAGGTGCCTTTTATACAGGTAACAAGCTGAGATTAGGAGCACTTCCTTTAAGAGTGCGCTTCTAATCTCAGCTCGTTACCTGTATAAAAGACACCTGGGAGCCAGAAATCTTTCTGATTGAGAGGGGGTTAAATACTTATTTCCCTCATTAAAATGCAAATCAATTTATAACATTTTTGACATGCGTTTTTATGGATTTTTTTGTTGTTATTCAGCCTCTCACTGTTCTAATAAAACTACCATTACAATTATAGACTGATCATTTCTTTGTCAGTGGGCAAACGTACAAAATCAGCAGGGGATCAAATACTTTTTCTTCACTGTATACAGGAAGTCGTAGGTTCGACAGCAGGCCTGATGTCTGCTGTATATTTGAAGTCTGCGTCACTTTCTCTCTCTCCCCGTAGTCGCGTGGATTTCTCTGGGGGTCCTCCGGTTTTTCCCCTATACATTAAGAAGGAACATCACGCGTTTAGAGTTATTTGGCTACTGCTATAAACTTCCACGTGATGATGATGATGATGATAATCCACCATTTTGTTGAGCTATCATTTGTGATGACCAGGTCGCTTTTGCAAAGAAAGTGCCGCTATATCGCAGCTCAGTGGGGGGCCTTATACCTGGTAAAGTAAAAATAAAAGTTTAGTTTAAATATTCTGATTGTGATTGTGATGTCTCTGGTCGCGTGGCTCCAGGAGTGGAGGTGCTGAATGACTTGCCGTCTCCGCGCACGATTAAGACTCACCTGCCCTACCAGCTGGTGCCTTCCTCATTTTGGGACAACGATTGCAAGGTGGACCACCATCATCACCATCACCACCACGCTTAGTCTCTTGCTTGATTTTCCAGGCTCCCCTTCATTGGTGTCACTATAATATTATTTTGCCATGTCACTTCCGTGTATATTGTGTAGGTTCGAGTCTATCGAGAGAAATCGAGATCATTCACGTGAGGCGATACAATAGGGTTGGTCTGGATTTAACGTTTAGACAAGCCACCCTGCCAGTTTCCAAGCAGTAGTGCATCTCGAGAACATCTCGGTGGTGCACTTACAATATGTTACAGGAGGACCCCTTCGTCAGAACACTCACACCTACGCCTACGTGTTCCAGAACACATTCATACACCCTTAAGGCACTTCAAGCCTTAGATGACCACCCGCTTTGGGCTGCATTCACAAGCAACCTGAACTCTTTGGTTCTATTCGGTAAAGTCACGTAGGTAAAAAATAAAACAACAAAAATCACGACATTTCGGCCACAACACGAGTGTGTTGTAGCCCCTGCCTGGGTATTTGGGGGCATCTCTCTATGCATTCATAGAGAGATTCCCCCATAGTTGTTACACAAGGGCATCCATCCAATCCTGCAGAACCTGTCCTGTGGTCTACACAGTTGTGATGGTGTTATGTAGGGCAGTCTGCACAAAAAATGGCACCTTCCCTTAGCATTTTTCTTGGGAGATCATCGCTGCACGACGCGTTTCCTGGTATCAGACTTCGTATGTCCTCTCGCACTTCCTCCACAGATGGCACCTCAGCCAACCATTCAGAAGGGGTGGCTACATCTGCCAAAATTTGAGGCACGGCAACCCTAGCCGGGTCGTCCCCACCTGGCCCAACGATGTTGTCTGGGCTGAGGGGGGAATTACTCTCCACCAAGACCTCACAAAATTTATATGCAAGCCTGCAGACCTGTATATGGGGGTCATAGATGAGATCACAGTTCTTTCCCTTAAACATGGTCATAGATGTTGTGCTGCAAGTTAATTTATTGATGTAATAAAATAGCGATTTGTGATTACGGGCTACTGAGGCAGATTCAATCTCCTCAGCAACCCACACCCACTATTAATATTTGCAATGCTGCACAGCTCTCCAAACCTTCAATCCAAGGCCGTTGTAAGCCTCCTCATTCTCCAATGTTGGATGTTGTAGACGATGGTCAATGAGGTCCTGGTGTCAAGGACATGGGCCTGCATCTGCTGATCTATAATTATATATTCCAGCAGATGTACTTGCTTGGACTTGGCGTGCATTCATAATGTTGCGTGGTTATGCCGATGCCGGAACAGCGTGTTCATAATTACAAGCCCATGGGATGCACAAAAGTCTAGTAGCCTCCTACCGTTATTATTGAGCTGATCTGGCCCATGACTTCCAATCACTTCAACCCAGGTGTCTGCGTCATGACCCACTCGGGCATTAAAGTCGGCAAATAGGATGACTCTATCCCTAGGGGCCAATTTAGCTAGTACCTGGTACAGGAGGTTATAGAAGGCGTTTGACTCATCGGCCTTGTCTGCATCCCTCCACTGAAATCTAATAACATCTCACCATTCGGGTTCAGATCAGGGGGGAGCATTCCTCCCAATCACGCCTCTCCACGTATCTCCATCGTTTCTAACGTGGGGATTGAAGTCGTCCAGTAGGACTATGGAGTCGGTAGGTGTCACTCTGTCGAGCACTGCACTCACCATCTCCAAGAAGGCCGAATACTCTGAACTGCTGTTTGGTGCATAATCACAGACAACAGTCAAAGTTTTCCTTTCTTAGACCCGAAGTCCCATTGAGGCGACCCTCTCATCCACTGGGACAAACTCCAACTGAATAGCACCCAGCCGGGGTTACCCCGGAAAAGGGTTACGTGGGTCACCCAGCCACCAGGCGCTTGCTGGTGAGCACCACCCCCAGGCCTGGTTTTAGGGGAATGTTCATGTATACCTTGTCCGACGAGGTTCTCCAATTTTTATATTTCTGAACCATTCAAAAGAGGTTTTTTTGGACCGATATTTGTCTGAAACCTCCCCCAAGATCTGTTCGCCAAGGGAAACTCTACCAAGAGTACACGACTCCAGGCGACATCGCTCTGAGGGTCATTGGAACACACAAACGCCACCACCAGTATGAGGTCACGATCCTTCGGTGGGGGCGGGGGGAGGCCTTGCCTGGAAAAAAATAAAATGCAGTTTTAGTTTAGTGTCTCCTTGTGCCACTCTCCCCAACCCCTACATCTGCTATCTCCTCCCCAGGTGATCTACGTCGCACGTAATGCCAAGGACAACGCTGTATCCGCCTTTCACTTTAACCGAATGAACAAGTTGCATCCGGAGCCCGGCACCTGGGAGGAATACCTGCATCGTTTCATAACCGGCAATGGTGAAGGCACCTAGGTTATTGCAGCCACTTCTATACCGGTAGTGAGGAACCGAATTAATTTCACGTGGCCCGCAACTTAATTTAAACATGAACACACATACAAAGACAAAGATTCCCTGTTTATCCTTAACAGACCGTTAGGGCAAGTGCTGTTAGTGAGCAGCACCTATAAAGGCCGGCACAACACTGAAATCGGTGGGTGGCCAGCACCATGCCCGACTGCCTTTATTTCCATAGTGACAAAGTTTACACACCGCACCAGGTACTCATTTGAGGCTGAGTTGGCCAAGGAGAGGCACAATGCTGGTTCAGATAATCGTCACTGGTGTTGGCCGTGAGGGGGAGTAGAAACATTTCAATCACGAATAATTTGCTTATAAGTTGAAAACTCAGTAGAAAAGATCACTTAGTCTGCAAGAGAGCTGTTTCCACTGCTAATGCAGAAAACATAATGGAAACAAAGCCCAGTGGAGGTCTAAACGCTCATAAATAGGCATCAATCATTGGCGGCAGGCATGGCTCAGCCCCCACTTACGAGCACTTGGATTGGCCGAAATTGGCGCCCGCTTGCATTACCGCATAACGTAAACACATATACCATTACATCAACATTTTAACGTTGGTAGAAACCATGGGGGGTTCTATTGGAGGGCAAAACATTAATCTCAAAAACCGTTATCCGATGTCACACTGTTAACCCAGGGACTACTGGACAAGTCAAATACTTTAGAGTCCTGACCAGCCACCTGACCTGGGGGGATGCAATTTATTTCACCCTGACGTGAATTTTTAACGTGCCAACATGGTCACTCCACCTCCTCCTACCCACAGTGTGCTGGGGCTCGTGGCATGATCACGTGACCGGGTGGTGGAACGTGAGGGAGCGGCACCGGATTCTCTACCTCTTCTTCGAGGACATGATGGAAGTAAGGTCACAAAGCAGTCTAGGACATAAGTAGCACGGCTCTAAGACCTAAAAACTACTTTTAGAAATATTGATTCTTATCCAAATAAATCATTCAGAGCTCTGAGCGGGAGGGAATTGTTGTGTGGGCTGAACTTGGTTGACATCACAAGCATGAGCTGATGCATGTGTGGGGGACTGTACAGAGAAAGTGCTAGAAGGCACGTGTTATAGTAGAGTTCGGGGGGGGGGGGGGACTATCCGATAAGGGCTGGGCCAAGCGAGTATATGAGGGGGAGCCAGGCCCGCAGTCGGATAGCTTAATCCAAGGACTAATCGACTACCAAGGTGGAAACCATCGGGGCTGAAAATAGCCATTGTAATTACGGGCGTAAGTGGTTGTTACCCTTGAAATTGTAAATACATTATGATAGAAATTAAGTTTCTAATTCTACAAAATGGACTTCTCCAATAAGCTTTTTAACTCTGCCAGGAGAAGTGGGATTCAATTTTGATTTAAAGCTTTCGTGACTGCAGTAATTCATATTCTTAGCTTTTTCGGTAAAGTCACGTTGAAGGGAAACAATAAAATAATAAAATAAAAGCTAAGAATATGAATTACTGCAGTCACGAAAGCTTTAAATCAAAATTGAATCCCACTTCTGGCAGAGTTAAAAAGCTTATTGGAGAAGTCCATTTTTATATATTTTATTATTTTATTGTTTCCCTTCAACGTGACTTTACCGAAAGAGCTAAGAATAAGTGGGATTCAGTTTACGGTATCCCATAAGAAGACCCAGGGAGGAGCTCTATTGGAAGAAAAGGCGTTGTCCCTAAGTGCCCTAGGTCCCCGAGACCCAGAACCCAGCCATGGACAATTTGGGGCCTGTTGTGTTTCTTAATAAAACTCCTGGGGATCTGATTTATTTAGTCCCACAGCTTCGTTACTGATTGTGAGCATGAAGCTCCCCCACCCCTTCTTCCCCCCTTGTGCGTGCTGAGGACCCCATGCGTGAGGTGTCCCGCATCGCCCAATTCCTGGAGCGGCCGCTGTCCGAGCAGCAGCTGCGTGAGGTGGTGAAGCTCACCTCCTTCCCCGTGATGCGCGACAACCCCATGACGAATTACAGCACCTTGCCCACCGACTTCTTGGACCACTCCGTGTCGCCCTTCATGCGCAAGGGTAAAGATCTCAACGTTTTTGGATGCTCAGTTGGGACACACGGTGATTATGATGAAGGTGGTGGTAGGATGGGGATGATCTTCAAACTAGCGGTGTCAAGATTGGCCTCTGTGGAGCAGGAGGATCGTGAAGGCCACTCCTAGGTTGTTGTCGGCAGTCGCCCTCCAGCAACAATGGAGGGGAGAGTAGCAAGGCTCATTGCAAGGAGTGGAGCGCCGGGGGGCTTAAACACAGTAAATTGGCATAGTAGGGGGCACAGGTGGTGCATCTGCCAGTCATTTTAGTCAGTAAACTTACGGCACCTGGGTCTGTCCCGTGACCTCTTCCAAGCTGAGATTCAACACTGCACATAGCCTGACACAACCACCATTTAGGGGCAATGGTGGTTGTTGTTGATGATTGTGATATTAAGACAACCCCCACTAAAAATTACAGCAACATACCTTGGCCAACCGAGTTCGATTCCCACTCACGGCCAACACCGGTGATAATTCTCCGTACCGGCCCAGGGGCTCCCCCAGGTTGACTAAGCCTTGACGTACCGAGTGCGGTGTAAATCGCCACTGGGGAGGTAAAGGCAGTCGAGCATGGTGTTGACCACCCAGGCCCTCGTGCGCCTTCATAGGTGCTCGTTAACAGAACTTTTCCCTGACATTTTATGAAATCTATATGGGGGATCTTTGTTTTTGTTTTGTCTTTGCAGGAGAGGTGGGTGACTGGAGGAATCACTTCTCTGCGGCTCAGCTGGAGGCCTTTGAGCAGCACTACAAAGAGAAAATGGCCACCACTGACCTGTGCCTGAGGGACAGCCTGCCCTGAAGGCCCGCATCTCTCCCTCTGCTCCTGCCTGTATCATTTGTCTTATTTGGCTTTAAGTAATGATAATAATACAAATTTATTGTAATATATAGCATCGTTCATGTTTATTTCATCCCACAACGCTGTAAAATAATAATATTCATAATCGCATTTAGGGCTAAATCCTATTTAAACCAATTATTAAGTAAAGTAAAAAGGCTCATGAAATATATAAGTAAGGTTGCCGATCTCTGAGTCATGAACAAAATCAGGACACGTCATGGGGAAGAAGAAGGCAATCTCACAATTCCAAAAGAGGTGAGAAATGCAAGTAAATACCTTTTTTGAGCAGTGTAATATTATTAATATTCCATTGACTCACAATATATTTGATTACCGATTATCCGGCTTACAACAGCATGTCATGCAAGAATGTGCAAAAATTCGCTATTTTAAATAATGATTAGTAGTGATTATCCGGCTTTTTTTTTATCCGGCGCCCCCTTCCCCCCAAGCTGCCGGATAATTGATGGTTTACTGTACGTGACCTTTAACTTCCCTGGGAAGAATTACAGATTTCCTTGGACAGATACCTCAACAAGAAGACGATCTTGGCAAAGGCAGGACAGGTGGCAACTCTAGTTGTTAAATGGACAATCTGAAATTTGATCCAATTGGGTTATACGTTTACATTTTTATATCGATTTGATTTTCTTTGATTTGGTTCGTACCTGGTTTAATCTGTGATAGTTTCAGCTGGCTTTTTTCATCTACTCTTGATTCATCTGGGTATTATCTAGACTTTGTTCATTTGTATCTGGCATGGTTATGTCTGATACATCTCGGACAACACAGAGATTCAATTAATGTGGCTTCACACCACTCACTGGTCTAGCGTTCATAGTCAGCATAGCACGAGTTCACTATCTGGTGGTGAAGCATAAAAGCTGATTGAGTGAAAAGTCATCGCCTGGTGATGTCAAATTCAGTCACAAAATATGAAAACATCTGATAAGAAGATTTATTAGTAATAATCGGATCACCAGATTGCAACGTACAAATCATATAAATTTGTAAACGTGATAATCGCTATCAAGTAGTGCGTGACTACAAAAAGTTGTGTTTTAAGTTTTAATAAATATGTGCCACTAACCGCGAAATTAGTGATACAAATATTCAAATAAGTAGTGTTTTTATTCAAAAAGACTGAGAGAGACGCAAATCATCGTGATGATGACTACGAGTACTGCCCACAAAGACAAAAATCTCCCATATAACCTTGACAGACTGTTGGGGCAAGAGCTATTAGCGAGTAGCACTTGTGAAGGCCGGAACGGCACACGAGGGGGTGGGTGGTAAGCACCACGCCCGGCCGCTTTTGTCTCCACAGTGGCGATGTTTACACACCGCACCAGGTACTCATTTGAGGCTGAGTCGACATAAGGAAGGCCCAGGACCAGTTCAGATAACGGTCACTGTTGTTGGCCATGAGCTGGAATTGAACTCGGTTCGCCGGGTTCGTAGTGCAGCATACTAACCGCTGCACTTCCGCTTCCCACTACTACTGCTCAAAACCATCATCATCAACACATTGTAACCACTACAACATCACCACCACTCCCACCATCATCATATTTACTATCACTAACATTAACACTACCATCATCAACATACTTTCCATGGATGTACTGGTGGAATTTCCACCTGGTACAGATACAATGGGAGGCTGATGGATCCCTCTGCATGAGTATATGGGTTTCTGTGTGAGTCTATGCGTCTGTGAAAGTTCAACTTTTGTTGCACCGTGCGTATAAACTGTGCTTATCGGAGGTGCGGGGCAAATGACCACAAATTAAAGAAGAAAATAAGTTCTAAAGAAATGAGTTTGTCAATCTAGATCATTTAAAGTGCATAGCTCAAATGGCTTCCTAATATCGGAAGGAATAGGGTTCCAGACGGTCACAGGAGTGCAACTGAAAGCGCGCAGTGCAGTGACCACGTTTGTTCGATAGCCAGCCAAAAGCCGCTGCTCTTTGACGAAATCAGCAAGGTGTTATGGTTTATTTGTGGCAAGTACTTTGTGCGTGTGTGATAAGTGTGACCTTCAACAACAACAATCGCCATTTTCCACTAAGTGCCTGGCTATGTACACGTTAAGGCCACGTGAAGTGCCGACGGCCTGCCAACAGGAGGTCACTGGATAGACCCAGGTTCCATGGATTGACTGAGTGAGATGAAAGGCCGCTGCACCACCTGTGCCCCCCACTGTGCGAACTTAGCTATGTTTTAGCTACCCGGCGCTCCGCTTGTTGTGAGCATCGCTCCTCTGCCCTTCGTTTTTGCTGGAGTGCGACTGCCTCCAACTGCCCATTCGAGGCCTTCCCGAACCTCCCCCACAGAGGCTGATCTTGACACTGCTGGTACCAGTAATCGGGAAGTCCACTCAGCTCAACATCCTCCTGTACCACATCACTCCATCTCTTCTCTAGCCCGTGCTGCGCCCGCTCTATCTGGCCAAACAAAAGCTGTTTCGCCATGCAGTGGCTGGGCATGCGGGATACATGACCCTGCCAACGCAGCCTTCGCTGCCGGAGTTCACCAATGGAACTTTGTCCAGATTTTTCAAGGATTCTTGAGCTCCTCATACAAGCCAGCCTGGTTAAACACAGGATGAATCATAGGCAGGCCAGCGTAAATGTTTCTGACTGGCGAACAGGTAGTTTCCACACAGTGTTACTCAGCGATGAAAAGATTATGTCAACTCTGTTGTTAAACCAGAGCTGGTCATGCCCACACGGCGCAGGTAGAGAAAACTCTCAATCCTCTCCACAACTGCCCCATCACCAATGGGGAGTTGAGCGGGTGGAGTGTGTGATGGCAAAGATTACCCAGAAATGTGCTTAGTTTTGGTGGGTTCAGCAACAACACCTCCAACTTCTCCTCTGATTGAGCATCAATCACCAATTCATTAACATACGTTACATGGTCGATGAATAGGGAGCCATCCCTTGACAAAACATAGGCATCGGTCATCCTCTAATTTTATCTGTACCAGATGGAGATTCCTCCGGTACAGCCAAACAAGGCTTTACGAACTACGTGGTCGCAAAATATGTTAAATAATGCGGGAGCTAGAGGACATCATTGTCGCACCCCAAGGTGAACAGGGAATGGTTCCAACTCCTGACTACGCAGTTTTACCCGAGGCTGCTCACTTTCATAAAGGTCCTTAATGAGCGTGAGCAGAGAGTTAGGGACACCAAAAGCACGAAGAATAACCCAGAGACCAGGCCTACTGATGGTATCATAGACCTTGACCAGGCAAATAAAGCAGAGATAAAGGTCTTGTTGGAATTCCCTACACTACTGCTGTCAGTGAGGGACAGAAAATATGGCGTCTGTGCAGGACCGCCCTGGCCTGAAACCGCATTGGGGCTCTGCAAGCCTCTCCTCAGTGTGCCTGGCAAAGTCGATGTTGATTAAAATAATCCTTGCCAGGACCTTTTACGGCACACTGAGGAGGGAGATGCTCCTGTAGTTGTCACAGTCTGTATACTTCCAATCCTGTGGAACCTGTGAAGTGGTCCAGACTGTTGTTATGATGTCATATATGTCAGTCTGCGCACACACAGCCTACCCTCCCTCACCATTTCGCTTGGGAGATCATCTCTGTCCATCGCTTTTCCTGAATAATGAAACACCTTCCGTACTTCCTCACCAGAATACACTTCAGCCAGCCACTCACAGGCGGTGACAATTTATTCCAATATTTGAATCACCACAGCCTCAGCAGGGTCATCCCCGTTTTACCCCGTGATGTTTTTTTTCTGGCTGAGGGATTTCTCCTCCCCCAAAACTTCATGAAAATGCTCAGCAAATCTGCAACTCTGTTTCTGGGGGTCGGAGATCGAACCACCTTTCTTTCCCCTCATGATGGTGATAGGTGTGGAGCTGCAAGTTACTTTTTTGTATGGAGTTAGAGTAGTTTATGATCGCAGACAGACTATGTCCTCAGCAACCTGCGACCACCACCCATCCTTGCAGCATTGCACGGCTCTCCAAACCTCCCAGCGGAGGCAATGGTAAGCCTCCTCATTCCCTGACGTGGGATGTCGTAGACGGTCGGGGTGGGCCTGCCGCTTTTTCTCAGCCAGCCTGAACACCTCCACTGTCAGCCAGGGTCTCTGGGGAGGTTTGGACTGTGTACCCAAAGTAGCCATTGCAGTTGCATGAGCCACAGTCCTAAACCTCACCCATTTCCCCTAGACATCAGGATAAGTGGGGGACGATGCCAACCCAATTCGCAAACGATGATGAAATTCTCCCGTGTAACTTTCATCAGCTAGCTGAAACCAGGCTTGTTGGTAATTACAATTCCATGGGCTGCTAAGAAGTCTGGCAGCCTCCTACCATTGTTTTTGAACTGATCTCGCCCATGCCATCCATATCACTCTAATCCAGGTGCCAGCATCATGACCCACTCGGGTATGAAAGTCGCCCAACAGGATGACTCTATCACGAGGGACCACTTTAGCTAGCACCTGTGACAGAAGGCAATAAAAGGCACCCGACTCATCTGTCTTGCCTGCATCCCTCCACTGGTACTCATCATTAGTGAGGGCATAAATAACCACCACCACTCCTCGCCTCTGGTTGATGGGAAGGTGAGCCCACAGTAGCCTGGGGATTAAAGCTTCCCACACCTCACCGCCACGCTCCCATGTCCCCGTCATTTTTTTTCATTCACAAGAGTAGCCACTCAACTGCTGTAGAGGACTGTCCACCCCTCACTCATGGTGGCTGGAGCCAGCGCCAGTCCACCGGATCTCCTGAATATCGCAGAGGTCCAGGCGGTAACGGTCCGGCTTCCAACAGAGGAGTGGCAGCCTCTCCTCTGCAGTGTTTGAACATTCCACGTGGCCACCCTCAGTGATTTTTTGTTGTTTCTGGAGGAACCCGAGGGTTAAGGCTTCAGTCTCCACCAACTGGGTTTACATAGGAGACGTCATAGACGCCTTTCCCCACCGGAGCCTCAGCTTAATTAGATATTTTTCACGTGGTTTTGTGGTAATTAAATTTAACATGGAGCGGTTACCAGCCCAATGCACCCGTCCAGGGCCCCAATTTCGCTGCTTTAATGGCTACAAGCGTCATGAGCCGATTTTGGAACTGGCCTTCCCTCCATGGCATTGCTAACATGCACCACAGCGTTACCGTCCATCACCACCGAGGAGGTAGGGGTTTTTATTTTTTTTATTTTTCTGGACACTCTCTCAACCACTCACCCACCTACTCACCCATTAACTCACTCCCCTCTATCCTCCAAGACATTCCCCTTACCATCCTCCACCGCTGGAACGCCAGCACCGGGACCCCGGCCGCCATCCATCACCTGTGTGCTAGAACGGTGTTGTTAACGAGTTCGGGTCGAGCCGTTGATGCTAGAATGGATGTAGAACTGCTCCTCGGAGCTGAGTCGGTGGTGTTAGAGCTGCTCTGTGGAGCAGAGGCATTGGAATTAGAACTCCAATTGACGTTGAGCCAGTGTGATTTCTTACAGCCACCGAGACATGGCGAGTGTTAGAACTTCTCTTGGTAGTCGAGCCAATAGCGCTAGAATGGATGCGTTCCATTATGTCATCGGCGGTAGAATTGCCCAGTGGAGTTTCATCACTGGTGTTAGAACTGCGATGTGGCGTTGCATTATGGGTGTTAGAACTGGTCTGTTTGGGTCACTTGGGTTAGAACGGATGTCTTTCATTTCCACGTGAGTGTTATAACCGGCGTATGTAGTTAAACCACTGGCCTTAAGAATTCGACCATTTATTCAAGTTAATTTCGTTAGAATAAGGGTGTTCTAACACCCTTATTTTATGGGTGTTAGAACTGCCCTGTGTTACGTTGTGATCGTCATAATGGATGCCACTGGCGTTAGAATTCCCACGTGCAGTTACACTGATGGCATTCATATGCAAGCCTTTTATCCCCAGGGCGTTAGAACTTCCCTGCACAACATAATAATTGGCGTTAGAACTCCGCTGTTCAGCGGAGTCGGTGGCGTTAGAACCCAGATCGCTGGTGAGATCGCTTATGGCCACTCAGACAAGGTGAGCGTTAGAACCGCTCTTTTCTGCCGAGTCCATTGCGTTAGAACGGATGCCTTCCATCTTATC